TTTTTTTTTTTTTTTTTTTTTTTTTTTTTTTTTTTTTAGATAAGGCCTAATGGATAAGGTTTGAAACCAAAAGAGTGAGGTAAAGAAACTGAAATTGTTCTGTATAATAAAGTATGGGGTAGAGGTCCTTTTCCTGTATGCTGGGGGAGGAAGGCAGATATTTGAGGAATCTAAAAAGAACTTTGGGGAGGGAAATGGATAGAGACTAGATGGAAGACAAGAGCCTGGAAAGGACTTGCTGGTGATTGGGTGGTTAAGAAATGGACAAGACCAATCGTGTTGTATTAAGGTGCTTCCTATATTTTGCTGCAATCTTTCTATGTTATTCTCTGAACTTCAATTAACCACTACTCACAAATGCTTTGTGTCACAGATGCTTTGGAGAGAAAGGAAAGGGATGCTCAATGCTGGATAGAGGAAAAGGTAGAGAGAGAGGCATAGCAATCCCTGGAGGAGATGCCTTGCCATAGAACCAAGAATATGGTGCTAAAGGTGACCAGGAGCAAGCAGGCATGCCAGAAGTTATTAGCAGGGAAGACATTCTAGCTTTCCTACAGCATGTAGGGTGAGAGTTTGAGCCATTCTGTCTTCATATTGAAAGAAGGTCCCAGGGCATAGAACTTTCAATGATAAAAGTTATGGGGGGTGAGGAGATATATTAGAGTTGTTTAGCCTGGTGCTTTTCAAACCTAACACATTTGCAAATTACTTAAGGGTTTGGTTACAAGGCAACTTCTGATTCAGCATGTCTGAGTGGGGCCTGAGACCCAAGATGCTATAGCTCCTGCACCCTCCCAGGTGCGTCAGGTGCTACTGGTCAGGGCCACACTTACTAATGAGGCTTTAGCACCCAGAGAAGCCTCTGGACCCATCAGGGGGTGTCCCTGCAGGCCATTCTCTCACCTCATATTCCTCCTTGAACCCGTAGCCCTGGCCTCTCTTCATCTGCGTGATGTGCTGCAGCAGGTCGGCCACCCGGATGGCGGGCTGGAACTGGTCCCGGGGGTAGCTCATCTCCACAGGGTCACAGGTTCGGTAGGGGTGAGTCTGGATCGTGAGGGTGGGCTGGGACAGCTCAGCACGGCTGCCATCTGCTTCGAAGAGAAGGAGGCAGAACAGAGGGTCACCTATTGGCATACTGTCCTTTGACCTCTATGTCTTCCCCCGCTTGGCCAGCTGAAGGCTAGAGGAACTAACTGGACTCAGTTGGTCAGGAAACCACAGACTGGAGGCACACTGCTTCCTGGTGTGGTTGTGTTGGAAGATTTAAATATCAAAACAACAAACAAGCCAGTGAACACAGTAACTCTATGTTCATTTCAATTTCAAGATGCATATTGACAGAAGAAAGACAAAGTTCCAGGTTGGTTATCATCTTTGCTTTTCTCAGTCCTTCCTCCAGGCTTGTAGGGGTGGTCTTGGCCAGCCCCAACCAATCCCAGAGCAGTGAGAAGTCAGGTTAGGCACTGGCAGAAGCCTCCTGATCAGGAAGTAGCAAGCCTGAAAGTAATCACTGAAGCCTGTTTGCAGGTTAGGAGAGCCCTGGGTGCCTGGAGCTCAGATCCACGTGTCTGCTTTGGGTCCATTTGTCTGCATCCCTGTGGTCTGGTTTCTCTACTGGTTTGCTTTTTTGGGGTTGTATACTGGGAGGAAACAGAGTCAGTCTTAAATCCTCAGCAGTTAGCAGGGACTCTGACCCTCCCTGCTATTCTTTCCAGCTACAAGGTCTGCAACAGTGACCACTTTGTACTATTGTCTAGTTTTCTCATCACTTAATACTACTGACCCAAGTCTGTCACTAAACTCAGTCTGAACCTCTTCCTTCAGTTCTGCCAATGGAACTGGATCCCCGGGCCTGGATCCTCTGATTCATCTTCATAAACTCTCTCTTTGATATGATTTAGCCTCTCCCTTGGTAAAAACCTTTATGCCTAGTGAGTTCCCTTAATGCTTTCTGTCAGTTTGGCCATCCTAGAAACAAATGCTTGTTCGGACTGGGTTTGAATTCTTTAGTTCCCTTTGGACCAGTAAAACCCATGTCTTGCTCCACCATCTTTCTGCCAGGTATACATTGTTAGTTTTTCAGGGTCTGTCTTCCCAAGAACCATCTCATCCTGTTCTCACCAACCTCTTCCCAAAGACATGCATAGTCTGGGTCATGAACCATCCTGTTTTTGACACATATGAGATGATAACTGCCGGATGTGGCAGTCAAGCTCTCTCACCAGATATTTTCAGACACTGTGAGAGCCTGATGGAGATACCCATGAACCCTGTGTGATATTCATTTCCTGAAAGACTTAGAAAATATTCCCACAACTTGTTTTTTCAAAAACCATATTGCCCTCAGTTGGTCTGCCTCTCATGTCACAATAATCCATCAGACATAGATTGTGTATGTGAAAGCACACCTGTGCCTATCTGACAGCCTGGGCAAGCCTGTTCCTGGTAAGAATAGTAGGAGGGGATGTCTGGCCGGCATGCTTTCCAGGGTGACCAACGTGTCCTGGTTTTCCCAATACTTTTCTAGTTTTAGCACTGAAAATCCAGTATTGTGGAAAACCACTCAGTCCTGGGCAAATGGGAATAGTGGTCCCCTCATGTTCCCTCTATGTCTGTGGATGGAGTGGGGGATACATTTATCTCTTTTCCATGCTTTTGTCTACCCCACCTATTAGCTCTTCCAAGAGAAAAGGAGGTACTAATCTGATTGGTCTGAACTTGAGTCAGTGGTTGGGTTATACGTGATTAGTGGGTGAGACCACTGTGTGCATAGTGTGATCTCTAAATTCTGCTGATTCAATGTGGTCAGTAAACACCACCAAGGCGGAGCCTGATCTTTTGGGACCAGCCCACTCACCTCTGGTTTGTCGACACAAAGATCACAAAAATACAGATAGATAAGCAAGAAGGAAAGGCCTAAGTGAGATGTTAGCAAAACCTTCCTGACTGCACATATGAAATATGTTGGTTGGTGAAAAGTGCACATTACGAAAAAACTATGCATGAATTTCAGAAGGGTTTTTTAGACCAAAATAACTAACATTTAAATTAAAACTTTCCACAAGTTTTTTTTGTTTTGTTTTGTTTTGTTTTTAGTTTTGCCATAGGCCACATGTGCTCACCAGAGAGGGAAGACAAGAGAGAGAGTGATAAGGAAAGAGAAATCATCCTACCCCCACTCCAGGGGAGATAGCCATGCTGCAGTCTCTTCTCTTCCATTCTCCTCTTGCAATTCTGAGCATGTGTGTACACATGCCTGGCATGTATTTCAAGCTGCCAGGTACGGGACTCAAACTTCTCAATCAGTCATGTGGGATTCAGCCACCTTAATGCCACACCACCAACTGGCCCCCACAAACTATTATTTTTCTCTCCTTTTTTTGTTAGGTTTTTGCCATTGGATGTATGTACTTGATGGAGAGAGACAGAAAGAGGAAAAGTGAGAAATCACCCCCCAGTGGAGATGGCCACCCCCACAAACACTTCTCCTCCATTCTCCTCTCGAGAGTTTGGGCACGCACATGGACCTGACACGAGTTTTAAGCCATCATCTCTGGGACTCAAACTGGGTGGCCATGTGAGAATCCAGCACCTTAGCCATCATGGCTCCTGCTGGCCCCAACCCACACAAACTTTCTGAAGTCCCTTCATATACTACTTACTTTTTGTCCTGGAATTTTAGGTAATAGGTAGATACATCTTCATTGGCATGGCTTAAATGGGGCACGTGGCAAACAGGGCTGCTTCCTTTCTCTATCACACCCTTGATGATCATGAGTTAAGCTTATTGAGAACCCACTGTGTGTCAAGGACCCTCGTAGACACTAATACTGAAGAGAAACATTCAAATTCCACCCTTGAGGCTTGATGGTCTAGTATGGAAAATAGATAAGTAGAACCATGTGAAGCAAAGAACAGAGCCTGAGAAGCGAAGGAACATTTGGATAAGAGCAAAGAGGTTGAACTGTCAGGCATCCCTCTCGTGCTATTCCTCCTGTACAGTGTGGTGAGACTGGAGATGGAGAGCAAAGGAGTGCCTGAGTTTGTCTCTTCTAAGGCTGCACTCAGGATTTCCAGGTGCGGATGAGCTGGAGTCAACGTCTGGAGCCCTGTGTTTCCCACCTAGACCACCATCACGTGTGAGGACAGATGTCTTCAGAGACCCACAGTCTTCCCAAGGAACTTGGGGCATGGGCTGCATGGGAGACCAGCTGCCCGGTAAAGACAGGTTTCCTAGGAATAGGCACTTGGCAATTTTTTTGAGATGCTTAATGTTTCCCAAACCAAGTAACTATCAATATGGGTACTTTCCCTAAACACATTGGTAGACAGACTTGGAGTCAGCAAAACCATACTGGAATGGAAAAATAAATGCGTTTGGAATTTAACAACTTATATTACTGTAACATTTGTAATAATGTCAATGCTAGTGCTAATGATGCTATGTAGACTCGGAATCAAGGGATTTTCAAGGTTTATTAATTCAACTAGTTGGACTCCTTTTTCCAATGCATCTTACCTCACCTATTCCCTTATTAACCTCCGATAATGCAGAAGTGATGCCTTTTATCACACCCCATTTCACCAGACGCACTATACTTAATTTTCCATCATTAGGTTTAATGAAAACCCAATTTCACAACTCACTTCTCTCAGGAACCTACAAGTAATGCTACGTTTTTATCAGCCCCAATTAAAAAACGTTATGATGTTCCTATTCGAGAGGGAGCCTTAAAACTAATGTGCGATTCTGCTGCTAATTCAACAAGGGCGCTGGAATTCACATGCTGCTCGTAAAATGTAACTCAAACCAGCTGGCCCAGGGAGAGAACGTTTTTCATTTTTTCCTTCTCACCAGACCCTTAATTTTCATGCCATTTCAACTTTTCATTTATGGGTCTTGCATGTTTATTTATCACATAATAATATTTTGAATTTCTTTCACAGTTTTTATATAGCTGTTGCTTATGCCTGAGAATTTCTCTGCAGTAACTCTTGTCACTGCCTGTGAGGGGGCTTGTGAGGTGGGCAAAGCGATTTTTGTGACATGCATAGATTTTGGGTTACCAATGTTCCTCTGATTTCATCTTTTCTTTCTTCTTCCTTGGAAACCTGGCTTTGACACACATACAACACTCGCTCTTTATCACCCTTCTACCAGCTTTACAGATCTCCCTCCAGCTTCAGCCACATACTTGCCAGGAACTGCCACTCCAACTTGTTAATGAATAGTTACTGAGTACCTATATTGTGCAATGCAGCACTTTGGATACTGTGTACATACAGGAGCAGAGGAAAGCATGTTTGGGGAGAGATAAGCAGCCCATAGCCCTTGAAGGAGGAGAGAAGAAAAGATAAGATGTGCATAAACAGGTCTAACTAAGGAAGGCTGGGATAAGCATGTAGGAGACAAGAGAAGGATGTGCTTCAGAGCTAGGCTCTGTGGAAACATTCTCCCTGCTCAGGCACCTGCTATACCTCTGTACAGTCAATATCAGTGTTGTCCAATAGAATTTTCCGTGATGATGGAAATATTCTACACTTGTGTCTGCAACATCATAAATGCTGATGACATGTGGCTACTGAGCATTTGAGATGTGGCTAATGGAACTGAGGGATAAATCTCTAATTAGGATTGCGGCTACTGTCTTGGGCAGGACATATTTAGAGAAAGGGATAAAGGGAGAGAGCTCTGGAGTCACAGCAGGTAAAAATATCTAGAGCAATTCCATCCCATGAGAGCCACTTAAATAATTTAAAACACTTTTTGTAGCAACATTAAATAAAATAAAAAGGAAGAAGTAAAAATAATTTCAATAATACATTTCATTTAACCCAATATATCCAAAAGACTGTTTCAACCTATAATTAGTATAAAAATTATTAATGCTAAATTTTACATTCTTTATACATATACAGGCTTTAAAATCCAATGTGTATTTTACACTTTCTAGAGTATTTCAATTTAGACTAACCATATTCTCAGAATTCAACAGACACCAGTGACTAATGGCTACGATTTTGGACGGTGCAGGTGCACACAAACTTATCTAGAACCAGATGAAGTTCTAAAGAGAGCTATTTAGAGCTC